ATTGACCCGGGGGTAGTGGCCCTGTCCAGGGAGGCGTAGATCAGAGTTCTCTGGTAGGTAACAGCGATGTTGGGGGAAAATTGTTCTTCTGATCAGACGTGGACGTACACCCTTTGCGTTGTCTTTGTCGCAACCACGTAGACATAGTGATGCGTTGAGGCATCAAAGGTGTTTGGAACACCATCAGCGAGTTGCAGGAGGTCGTCTACCAGTGGTGTGAGGGCGAAGTCCATGTTCGTGGGCTTCTTAGGTCCGTAAATGATGCCATACAACAAGGTCGTGCTTACGTCATTACGGACGGACCTCGGTAGGTCGTCCACTGTAACTACGATTGGCCATACCTGGGATTGGTATGAAATGATGATATCCCATCTACCGAAACGCTGAGGGTCAATCCTCTGGCATCCCCTTGGAAAAAGCCACCGTTGGCATTGAGGCTTTTCCAGAAGTCGGTTTTCTGGATGTCATGTTTCACGTCATCATTTTCTCGCTCTGGCCTTGTGCTGTCTGTTGTTGCAAGGGTGCCAAAGCCGTGTGTTCCAAAAAGCCAGGCGAGGTACTCTTTTAAAGAAAAGTAATGGAACACTTTTTGGTGTGTTGCAAATGGGACACCGTTGAAGTCGTGCCTTATCCCCGGTGTAGATGCAGCAGTCCTTTGGGCAAACGTGCGCTTTGTGCTTGACAATGATGTTGTTGTTCATCACTTTCTTGAAACCCTTTATACTCCTGGGAATGTTGTTAGGCGCAGGCAGCAGGAAGCTGATGATATTCATCCCTACCTAGACCGGGGGTGGGGGAGTGCCCGCGCCACTTTGATGTCAACTAGCGTCTGAACGGCTAGTGCTAGAATGATCAAACTTGGTCACTTTTTCTAGAATATAGTTGGCAACAATTCTCTATCATTGGAATAAGATAATTTGTTTTGTGTTGCCATGGCAACGGGTTTCTGACAGGCATTTTTTGCTTAAGTTAGTGTTTTTGTTTCAACAATACAACTTTATGGATTTTATGTTATTTTACTCATGGTTTGTAATATTAATAACATCCCATATAATGTTATGCAAATTTTATCATTAAATATGCATAATCTTTGCTATTTTGATGACGTCATTGGCCAAAATCTAAGATGGCGGACCAAATCATTAGAACAGGTATATACAGGTTATTTTCATTAAAATTTCATCAATACTTCCATTTCTTTTCCCAAAAAAGTTTTAAATAAATGTCTTTAGTACGTTAACGATGTATAGGCTTTATTATAAAAAAAAGTTTTTAAAAATTCAAGATTGATGATCCATGATGGCGGATATCTTAGATATGCATGGCCTAATTTTATGACGTCACCGGTGTTACTATGGGCAACATAAGACCTAGTACACCCCAATATTCTGTCATAAACACTTTTGGTAAAGTTAATTTGTATACCGTTAAGTTTTCAGGGAATAACCTATCTAGACGTTTTGGGCCAACAAAATCACATTAATGACGTCTTAATGACGTCATATTACGTCATTAACATAATCATGAAACTGTTAACCGCTCCAGTCCTGATCAAGTTCACATTCCTTATCGGCTGTATAATAAGTCTCTTGTAAGAACTGAATGTCTGTTTTTTGCTGAATTAACCATTCATATATGGTGTGTCGCTTATGTCTATCACGTAAACCACGGACATTTAGGGAAAGAAGGCTTAAGTGTCGAGGCCATGAAAATAAGGATAACTTACGGTAGCGGGAGTCTCAAAGTTTAGAAAGTTTGTTCTTACTCCCGATCTGTCGCTGTCAAACGAGGTGTCGGAGTGACTCACAAATTCACTGTCTGGAGAAGCACTCCGCGAACGTCCAGCCGCTAGAAGTCCGTCAAGGTCTCGGCTTTTGTTGGTTGTCTCGTTCGTCGGGAGGTTGTCTCGTTTACTGTTGGAAGCAGGATTCTTCACACAACTTCTTGTTGCCATGGTGGTAGTTTCAGTGGTTCTCTGGCTTCTTCTCTTATTTCTACGTGACCTAGGTGCGACGAAGTCAGTGATCTGACTCTGTTTTCCTCGGTCCTGTGTCTTTTTCGCAGCCAAATCGATGTCGTCGATGGTAAGTTGGACGTAAGCTGTGGTGATCTCCACCACCTTTAGGTTTGGTGTTTTCTGCATTTTGCTGATTAGACATCTGGACATTTTCCTCTGTCGTGGACTACGATCCATGTGCCATCTGTGGGGAGTGTTGCTTTGGCTGGTCTCTGTAGAAGACTCTGGTCCTCCAGCGCTCTCCTAGCTCCACAAATCTAGGGATGTGCTCGTTGGGGTTTTGAGGGACAGCCAAGTAGGCGAACCTATCCCCTGTCTCGTCTCGCAGTTAGTGAGTCTACCATCCACTCGTAGCATCTTTCGCTTAAGGGCGAGAGTAGCTTGACCCCATAGTTCTTAAGGCCGGACGCGATCACCGAATCATCAACGGACAGGGGCACATCTCTAACAGTTATACGAATGCCATTTTGCTGTTGAAAAGGGTGAGTATCACAAAGTTCCACATACTTGTTACGTAGGCTTATCCCGGTCGCGATCAGTGTTACGCGTTCCTCCGGGTCGCGAAGATACTCTCGCCATAGGCCCCGTACTTGTTGAATACCGGCTATATTCATAGCTTGCACACCGCGCGCTACGGCTTTATACACCTCAACATTAGTGAAGTATGCCTCAGAAGGGCCAACCACATTAACATCCTTCTCCAGGAAAAACACTGGCTTACAGGAGAATGCTGAAGTAGCGGTGGAGGCCGTCTGTGCGGTGCCTGTAGTGTTGCCATCCATGGCCAGCGCTGTGGCGTAGCTCATAACCGTCCTTGATGAGGAGGGTGAAAGTTGTCGAAGTCGTCACTTCACAGAGACGAGTTTTCCATCAAAAAGAAAGGGAAGGCTAAACATGCAAACCTTTCCCAAGCCCAGTTCTGTGACTAGAAGCCGAGGGAAGAGCCGGATTGTGCAGGAAAACACCGGATGCTACAGATGAAGGACAGAGCTCTAGAAAACGCAGGCCATCTTGGCAATTTGCATATCAATGAGGCATGTGTTAATGTTACTAACTCTGTTTTTGTTTCTTGTATTACGTCTGTCATGATGTTTATATCATTCTTTTAATGATTGTATAAGCGCCTTTTCATCCCATATCACCTAGTATTGTACTACGTAGACTGATTTGTTAGATTTGTTCTCTCATTTCTGCCATACTTTGTACCTTGTACATTGTTGCGTAATAAAAGTCACTATGATACTAACTTTGTATGTTTCTTGTATTATGTCTGTCATGTTTATATGTATTTCGTCTTCATGTATTGTCATGTGTGTCATGATGTTTATGTGAATAACTTCGTCATCTGTATCGCTCTGTTATGTATGTCATCATGTTAATTGTATATTACGTTCTTCGCTATGTTTTGTCGTATCTGTTATCAAGTTATACGCGGTTTGTTGAAAACTAAAGACAGTAGTCATTGTTTGAAAATGTCAACGTTACTCTCTCTATGCCCTGATGTATATGGCCTTTTTAATTCCTCGTGCAAAGAACTTCGTTCTGGGTCCAATATTCTTACTTTTTCCAGTGAGACTAATATCTACATTTCCATTCTAATCACACCCTAGAACATAAACTCGGGGTTGTCCCTGTTTCACAAAGCGGAAACAATTATCACTGACCATCAAGATTTAGAAGAGGGGAAAGTTAACATTTTATAGGCACTAAGAACGTGTGGGTACTCCACTTGAGATTTAGACACGTCTTATAGACAGAAGCCCACAGACTGTAACCATATCAGAGCAAGAACAGGAGCCCGAATAGAAGCCTTCTGCCTTACTTTTTTTCCTATTTTTTTTTCTTTTTGTATTACTGTAATGATATCATAGTCATTATACATTGTGTCATACCATTATACAAGTGAGAATCGTATACTTACTATATTAATTGGCGACGATATAGATACTTATGATACAACAATTCAAAGCTATCAAGCCGTTATGTAATACTCGTAATTGACATTACTAGTTCCACGTTCATTGCGAAGAAAGCCGTTAACTTTTAATCTTGGAATGAATCAAAACAAACATTCCGCTAAGTGCTGTACATGAACAATAGGACACAAACAAAGCTCCTCGGTATTGCTGTTTGTGAACTGACAAAATGATGAGCGGGCGCAGAAACTGATATGTGTGGAAGCAGGACAGAAAATTTCGTCCCAGCGTCCCTTGTAGATGGCGGACCGAAGATTCCTCCTATAAGGAGCGGTCACAGTCGTCGTACGTCCTCGTACGATGTTGATGCCGCAAACAGGTTTCAACCAGGTTGTCACAGAGCCAACCACCAAGGTCAAGGATGAAAGGCAGTCGAATTTTGAAATACACATGCCCTCAGTTTTACGATGTAACGACGTAGGCAAGGTCCTTCTCTATAAAGATCCTCCAAGGTTCGCTGAGGTTTCACCGTACGGAAATCATCTTCTAACGTCCTGTGGTCCGTCATTACAACAAGACCAGCAGCGTATCTCATCATGGGTCTCATAGGTTAAGAGGGCCGGGACAGGGAATAAGGGGGGTTAACTCTCACCCTCTGGGATCAGCAGGGGAAATGCCTGGACTAAATGTTGGGTCAGTGTTATGCACGGAACATGTGAATGAAAAAGTCCAGGCGTGGAGGGCTATGTGAGGGAAACGTGAGCTGGGCCAAGGAGGACTGGAGTTGGTCATTCAACCTACCTGTATTGTTCAGGGCAGACGTCATGGTTAGTTAGGGTATACATGCACGTGCTGACTACAGCTGCTGTTGGCGATTGTCTTCTCTTTAATTGCGTGTGGGGAGGGTTACTGAACTCTTGTTTCTTGACCTTGGAAGGCAGCCCTTTTGGAAATACCGTATGACATCTACGTTTATTATCTTAGATTACAGGAACTTTAGAAGTCAGAAAACCAATCAGAAATGGTTGCAGTGGTCCAAAAACTCTGCGCACTGTCAGATAAACACCCTACAGCACAGTAGATTTAGCAATCTGGTTCAGTGTTTGGACTCTGTCTGTGCTTGCCACCTTATATCCAAACTCGGGTGGCCTGAGCGCCCCTCCCATGTACACTGTCGTGTTCCTGTACACCATGCCTGAAGGTATGAAGCAGCTGGCTGAACAGTGGAACTCCCTGACTCTGGTGTCCTTCAGGATTTTGGGCAGGTTCCTATCATTGATGCCTCCTCCTGGTACTATGATGATTCTTCCTCTCGACTGTTTCTTGAGTTTTTTTAAGAGTGGGAAGACCCTCCAAAACAGTGGAGTCACGCCCGCTGGTCAGCAGTCTCTCACATCCCAGGGAGATGACATCCTCCAGGGCCTGCTGGGGATCCGCAACCATGTCAAATTCTCAGTGGAAAGTCACTGGTAAAGGCCTTCCTAAACCAATCAACTGTGCACAGAAATCCTTTTCAATTCTGCCATTCTCTGTGAGAGCACCCAACACTATCCCATCAGCCCCATGTTCCTTGGCCAGACAGAGGGCGACCATCATGACCTCCCGTTCCCCGGTGCCGTACAGAAAGTCGCCGCCACGTGGCCGAATCATCACGAGCACAGGGATCCCCATTTTCTGTTTCACCACCTTCAGCATTTCTAAACTTGGAGTGGTCCCTCCTTCCATCAAGTTTCACACAACTCCAGTCTGGATGCACCTCCCTACTCTGCATTAACAGCTGAGTCCACACACACCTCCATGTTGTAGACACCTGCAGGCACAGTTCTGCAGACATAGTTCGGTCTAAGTTCAGCTTCAGGGGACAAGGAGGTCTTTATTCTTGCTGCCTTAACTTGGCACTCAGGGCAAGCGTCAACCCAGTGTTTTACATCTTCTGTGATGGTGCGCCAGTAGAACCGTTCTACCACATATGCTTGAGTCCGCTTTACACCCAAATGGCCTCCATTGGTGTCAGAATTGTGGGCATTACCCAGCACTTGCTCAACCTCATCTCTGGTGAATAGAACTTTGGCCCTCTTCTGCTCCTTTCCCTTGTAATGCAAAGTGTCACCTTCATAGAAAAACTTTTGGGCATAGTTATAAAGGGTGTGCTTCCTTGCCTTCTTTGTCAACTTATCCAATGTATCAAAGTGTGGGGGGTACCTGCCATTTTGAAGGTAGTAGAGCACCTCTTCGACTGATGCCTTCTGTAGTTGTTGTTGTCCTGGTTTGATGTCTACTATTTCACTAGACGTGGCCTCTGGGTCCTGGGTTTTCACCTTCTTGTAGGGACTGGGTGGTTGTTGTTGTTGTTCTTGTATAACATTTATCATCTCACTAGAAAAGGTCTCCAGATCAGGTGCTTCCATCTTGTAATCAGCTGATGGCTCGTTCATGTACTTGTTCTTTCTTCTTCTTCCGATCAGGCCCGCATTCGTGATGACGGATATTCTGGCCTTGTAATCCCGCTCGACGTGGTCTCTAGAACAAGTTGGGTTCACTTAAACTTGTGACGCCCCGGATTGAGTACTAAGAATGCTCCATACAATAAGTCGTAATACGGTCACGTCAAATGAGGCTGGTTTATGTGTCCCTGTGATGTCAACGAGTCAGACAACAGTGTATGGGTCAGTTTGAAATTCGAAAACCACAGGAAGACGAGATATGTCCCGTCAAAGTTTACCTTCTAAGTACTCATTTTGGCGTGGTTTTTCTGTGTTTTGCGGTCTGCATGGGGGTTTTCAGACGGCCTCCTGCCTTACAGGAAAGGCCTAAGTAAAGGGCTCAGTAGGATCTTTGCTACACACGGGATTAAGACCTGTTCAAGACCAACTACAACCCTCCGGAATATACTGGTTTTACCAAAGGACAAAACACCAAAGGAAAACAAATGTAGTGTATCATATACAGTGTCAAGGACAGAATTCCAAAATTCCAAGGGCCCATGTAAGGAAACATATATTAATGAGACTGAACGATCTCTCAAAATAGGTCCTTAGAACACAAACGACCTAGCTCGACTACTTCGGAGGTTTCACAACATATACTCAAAGTAAGACAAAGTAAGAATCTTGGACACAGAACCGGACTTCTTTGCACGTGGGATTAAAGAGGTCATCTACATCAGGGCATTAAAACCATCCATCAACAGAGACGGGGGGCGCCACAGACTTTCTGCAACCTATGATCCACTGCTCACGGAGTCACGTGTGTTATCTGCGTGACGTCAAGTAAGCGGTGGATTGCTCATTCCTTGACAAAGACTGGAGTTGTACAGTGGAGACTTTGCGTGAGTCCAATTTGTTGTGTTGGAAATTGCAGTTTCATAATGATTTCTACAAAAACAGATGAACGTTCAAGATAAAACCTAGCTTTTGCTACAGGTGGAGGGAGGTCAGTAAATGACAATGATAACAATGATGATCCCGTCAACCACACGTGCGACAATGACGATCCCGACAATCACGTGTATGAGTATGGACCCAGTGACCGGCAGCCTGAAAACAAAGGTAGCTTGTCTTGTTAAATTGAAGAAAAAGATAATGAGATATGCAGTACTTGTGTCGCCTTGTGGTTACCGAAGTCCCTTTGTGGTTTCTTCCAAATACGGAAGTAATGTTCGGAGTCTGTTTTGCTTGTCCTGACAGAGTACTAGGTCGACAGCGTGTGAGTGGGTGTAATGAAAGGAGGTCAAAACGTCAGACACAAAAATAGGTTGAAATCAACCATGGTTTGGAATACAAGGTCCCATTACCTTTGTCAGCATGTGTGAACTCATCAAAAGTCAAAATACTAAGTATTGCTGGATGTCGTTTTGCGTCGATGAAGGCTAGACATCCAGGTAATAAGATACGCCAAAAGCAGTTACTTAGCAACTGGATATGGTATTGGAAACTGCCAGGCGATCCAGGTAGTATTCACTGACGAAAGCTAGTGACTACGTTAATGACGAAAGGTAGTGAATACTAGCTGAAACGTCTGACCGTTTCCAAAACCATATCCGGTTGCTTAAGTACCTGCATTTTGGCGTAAAGTCGTTGTGGTTTGATTGTTAGTTGTTAGCAGTCTAACCCAATTAGGTATCAACAGACTGTTATGGTATCTTTGTAAATTGAATGTGAGTTCTTGTTTGCACAGATGACGCCGAGAAGGTAAACATGTGTGGGTTTGCCAAAGTTTGCAAGACGGCATTTTGCCGTTCATTTTTCTACCGTGTTCTCCAAGTTATGTCCATCGCTGTTGCAGTGGCAGCCTTGTTTGGTGCAGGAACGGCCTTTGTCATGTTTATCACTTCAACATCGAAAAACTCTGCAGAAAGCCACAAGGTGAGTCAATAATGATAGTGGGATAACTCAATCACCTCCGTGTGCTGTATACTGGAGGCATTGTTTAGTGTACTTACTTGCGCTTCCGTGGCAGCGGGCGAATTCCCTAACTACAGACCATAAAAAGAATGGCACAGGAAATTATATGCTGGCTTGAGGCCAGCCTGCAGGAATACCATAGGGGTTTGCTAGCTGACCATTGTGTAAATGTATAGACGTGATCAGAGAAATTTTCCAAAATGAATAAAAACCAAAATAAGAAAATATTTCACGAAGGTATAAAATATCCAATGTTTGTTCCATTTTTACACACTTACAATTGGCACATGCACACTCCGTCATAATGTTATTTTCATAACAGGATTCAGAAAAAACTACAGGACATCAGATAAGATCTTCATATTTAAAACTCTTATATCTAAACACACACAGTCTGGAAAACGCTTATTCGCTTGTTTTGTCGACCTATCAAAAGCCTTTGACTCCACTTGGCATGAGGGACTGTAATACAAACTTCTCTTCAACAATATTTCAGGCAAAATCCTTGACATTATCGAAAATTTATACAAAAAGTCCGAAGCAAGTGTCAAAACTAGGAATGGCCTGAGCGAAACGTTTCCTGTTGAAATCGGTTTTCGGCAAGGGTGTGTTTTAAGCCCCACCTTATACAACCTGTACATTAGTGATCTCATAGACACACTCAATGCAGAAAACCAAGACGCCCCCCTATTGCAATCTACAAAAGAAAATAGCCTATTTTATGCAGATGATATTGTTCACTGTAAACTGTTTGACTCATGTATTGTACCGATATTATTGTATGCATCTGAAATTTTGTGCAGTAGCAATATGAATGACAAATCTGCAATAGAAACTATACATCTGAAATTCTGTAAATATATTCTCAGAGTTCGGAGGAACGCCAGTAACTTCGCATGTAGAGCGGAACTGGGACGTTTCCCTTCACTGATAGAGTCTCAATGCAGAACGTACACCTAATATTTCATATTAGCCAACGAAGTACATACAAGTAGTCTACAACATGAAGCCTATATGGTACAACAAGAGCTAGATCGTAGAAAAACACCCTGCTGGTTATCTAATGTAAGAAAACTGTTAGAGGAGTCCGGCTTTGCCTACCTGTACATTAATGGTCACCTAAACTCGCCGTCTTATCTAAATGAACTAAAATAAAGATTAAAAGATAATTTTATACAGAAATTTAACTCAGAACTACAAGTAAAAGAAAGAAGAGAAAACCAAGGCAACAAGATAAGGACATACAAAACAGTCATAGAGATTTATGAAAGAGAAACATATTTAAACATTACAAACGCAACAAGATAAGGACATACAAAACAGTCATAGAGATTTATGAAAGAGAAACATATTTAAACATTACAAACGTGCGAATTCTGTAATCATTAATATGTTGAAAACAAGATACACTTTGTACTAGACTGCACATTATATAAAGATGAACTATTCGATATTTCACATTTAGACAATATATGCAAGAAAATGTCCCAGCAGGACACATTTAAACATTTGATGTCATGCAAGAACGAATGTATAGCAGATTAACTATGTAATTATGTTTCCAAATGTTTCAAAAAGAGATAAGAAAGGCTAATTTACTGTAGATGATAGATAGTATATTGTATTGTTATAATGTAGAAATTCCTATCAATTAGCATTTGAATATAGCGTCCCAGTATGCAATACTCATGTTTTGCATACTGCATGTCCTCTTGTGCATTTAGCCCATCTGGGCAAGAACATGCAATAAAGATTCATTATCAGTATCATATCAAAATAATATTTTAGATGAATTAAGTATCATATTTTCATGAATTAGGAAACAAAAAGGAAAAAGAAACTTAAAAAAAACGCGGAGAAAAAGGTTTAATGATGTTTATATTTTCAGGAATTAGAGAACCCTTCTCTTTCAGTCCATACATAGCGTGATCTAATTTTTTTCTCACGTCTCTTCACCCCCTGTTTACATTATTTCTAGGGCCAAATAACTTGGCCAGCATTTGTATGATTTTTTTTTTTCATTTTTTATTCAGGATTTTAGAATTGTTTTGTGTTTTTTTCAGGTAAGGGAGTATTTTTCGTCAAAATCTGTACATTTAAACTGAAAACCCGGTATATTACCCCTAAATGATCTGCAATTTGGTACGAGGGTGTTTTACTGAAAATCACTGAGTGGGGATTTAGGACACTACAAAGGGTTTTTTTGAAAAAAATAAAGTTGAAAAGCAATACAGGAAGGATTTGCGAATACTTGTTACTGAAAAGCATTGTATGGTAGATTTTTATCTTACTGTAAAAATTTACTGTCTGGGGGTCGTGAATAAGTTTTAGGACAAAGTATGGGTATTAATGACTAAATGTCACCTGTAAAAAGTGATATTAAAGAATTAAACATT